GTAGAGACGGGGTCTCGCTCTTGCTCAGGCTGGTCTCCAACTCCTGAGCTCAAACAATCCGCCCGCCTCGGCCTCCCAGAGTGCTAGGATTACAGGCATGAGCCACCGCGCCCAGCCCTGGGCATACAATTTTTTTACATAGTCAAATTTAATGATTTTTCTCTTATTGTTTTTGACATGGTTAGAAAATGTCTATTCAGAAAGAGCAGTCTCTTAAACAAACAAAAATCTTTCTCTAAATTAGAGACTTCACCAATGTTTTCTTCCAGTATATGTGTGGTTTTATTTTTTACATTTAGATTGCTGTTCCTTTTAGAGTTTATTCTGGCATATGAAAAATATAGAGACAATTTAACTTTTTATCAAATGACTTTTCAGTTTTTCTAACTCTGTTTGTTGAAAAATGTGGAGGCTAAATTAACTCCATCTTGGATGTTAATCTGCCATGTTGACCATTCTCATTAACCCCAGTTCTGAGATGCCTCCAAGATTTCCACTTTCTCTACTGTTCCTTGTGTAAGAGCACATACTTCCCATATATCCTGCCCTTAGGTCAAAACCACCTTGATGTTATGACACAAAGTACAGGCTATGATATATATATCATTCTTTTTTTTTTTTTTTCTTTTTTAAGACTAGTCAAGTGCAGTATTGAAAAGAAGGGGAAGTAGTAGAACAAGGAGTTCAATCTATAACTGACTGTGAACAATCAAGTGAGATAACTCACTACCTTCGGACCAGCCTATATCATTCTTGTCTTTTCCTGGAAGATTGACTTTAATTGTCCTGACTGTTCTCTGGAGAGCATGTATACTCTTCCTGTAGTATATAAGCCCCAGGCTTGGAGGGTAACAGCGGGAAGTCTACTTGTCTTGCAGCCACCCAAGACCACACTTCTGTCCATAAGTTCCCTAATAAATCACCCTGTAGCGACAAACTAGATCTGTCTGCCTCCTCCTTTGGTTTCTTAGCTCCTTCTGTGTTTGGGGATTGCTTTGCATATACGGCCCTTTTACTAAACAAAAAGATCATATTTTCACGTTTTGACATTCGACCTATATCACATGTCAATAGCCACATACACTTGTGTCTGTTCTTGGACTTTACACTGGAATTTATTGATCCCACACTTTCCATTACGGTAGTTTTCTGATATGGTTCCATATCTCATAGGGCAAGCTCTCCCCACGACTCCTCTGGCAGGTTTTCCTGGCTATCTTGCTGCTTTTTTTCCCCATATACACTTGAGACTCAACTCACTCGTCTACCTCTAGAAAAGACCTTGTTGATATATTTATTAGAAACATTGAATTTATATATTACCTTCTTGAGAATCAGCATTTGTACCTTGATTTAGTTCTAACGAAGAACATGCTGGGTCTTTCTATTTGTTCAGATAATTTTTTTCTTTTTCAGTAGTATTTTAAAGTCTTCTTCATGTAAGATTTATGCTAAACATTTCTTGTTTATTTCTAATTATTTTATCTTTTTGTTGATGTTATATGTAAGCATGTTTCTTCCATTATGTTTTACAACTAGCTTCTGTTTGTGTATAAGAAAATTGTTGGGGTTATTTTCTGTCTCACTCTGCTGCCCAGGCTGGAGTGTGCTAGCCCAATCATGGCTCACTGCAGCCTCCAGCTCCTGGGCTCAGGCAATCCTCTGGCCTCAGCCTCCAGAGGAGGTAGGACTCTAAGTGTACACTACCATGCCTGGCTAATTTTTTAAATTTTTTTTTTTTTTTTTTAGAGATGGCAGTCTCACCATGTTGCCCAGACTGGTCTCAAACTCCTGGCCTCAAGTGATCCTCCTATCTCAGCCTCCCAAAATGCTGGATTATAGGGATAAGCTAGCATGCCCAGCAAGAAAATTGTTTTTATGTATCAACTTCATAACCTGCTGCCTTACTGAATTTTCTTACTATTTGTATTTTTTTTTCACCGATTCTTTTAAGTTTTGCTGATACATCACTGCAAATAGAAATAGTTGTACTTCTTCCTCAAATTTTCATTTTGTTCCTCTAATTGTTTTCTCTTGTGTGATTACATTGGCCATTACCTCCAATAAAGTGGCCTAACTGCTTGTGTTGTTAATACTTACAAAATAAAAGGGTGAGTGTGAGAAGTCAGTATGGCCTCACAATGAGCAAGTCATTCCTAACCTCATTTGCCTTTTCTCAGAATAGGTTTACTTGGCAGAGAGATCTTCTAGGAAGGTTTTCTGCAGTCTGTTATTTTTTGCCTTTATGCCTGGATTTAAATTAGTTTGAAAAACTATTTTCAAATTATGTAGGTTAATAGTTCTAGGCTTAATATCCTTCTAGCAAGACGTGTCTAGCAAAAAGTTGCTTAATTCATGTTTATCACATTTTCATAACATAATATCCC